CGCCGCACCGCGTCGCGACCGCCACCATCCCTCTTAGTTTCCCTCCCTACTCTCTGCATCGTTCTTCCTCTTCTTCCGAGGAAGAGGAGAGGAGAGCCTCTCGATGCAGTGTGCCGGGTGCAACTTTTCTACGACACCCATCTTTCCCTGTCTCTTTCTCGCCAAAATCGTGCGGTTTATTCGTCATCGTGGTTGGGAAACGTAAGCGACAGGTTACGGGTTCGTGGCTCGATTCTTCGGAACGAATTCGATTTTTACTCTTCACTCGGGGTATTTTGGGCCAATTGGGTTACCTCGCTTTTTGTGGACCGATATTGGGGCGAAAATCGATTTCATATCATTTTCAGAGGATTGTATGGTAATTCTGACGGGTCGAGATGTCTTATTATTAGGTACTTATGCTACGTTACTCGTAATTTAATTTGTGCTACGTTGTCGAAAATTAGGGTGAGAATTGATTAAATACAAGCTTTATAGGATTTGATATAAGTATGTTAATTCTGGTGGTTCGAGATATCTTATTATTAATTATTCTTATGCTACATTATTCATAATTTAGTTTGTGTTATGTTACCGAAAATTAGGGTGAGAATTGATTAAATACAAGTTTTGTAGGATTTGATATAAGTATGTTAATTCTGGTGGTTCGAGATATCTTATTGTTAGTTATTCTTATTCTACATTATTCATAATTTAGTTTGTGCTGAGTTACCGACAATTAGGGTGAGAATCGATTAAATACAATTTTGATATGATTTGGTATAAGTACATTAATTCTGACGATTTAAGATATCTTATTATTAGTTACTCTGTTGCATCTATGTTACGGATAATTTAGCTTATGGTACTTCAATTATCGAGAGTAAGGATAAGAGTCGATTAGGTACAATTTTTATATGACTTGATATAAGTGCATTAATTCTGACAGTTCACTATAATTTACTGTTAGTTGCTCCTTTTCATCTATGTTACGGATAATTTAGTTTATGGTACTTCAGTTGTCAAGAGTAATGACAAAAGTCGATTAGATACAATTTTTGTATGATTTGATATAAGTGTATTAATTTTGACAGTTCACGACATTTTACTATTAGTTGCTCTTTATCGTCTATGTTACGGATAATTTAGTTTATGGTACTTCAGCTAGCCAAAGTTAGGATAAAAATCAATTAGATACAATTTTTACATAATTTGATATAAGTGGCACTTCACGATATTTTAGTGTTACTTCTTTTTCATCTACACATAATTTAGTTTATGTTGTCTAATGAAACTATCTACAATTTTCTATCAATCTTCTAAATTATACACATGTAAGTATAACAGTGATAAATAAACGTTGCGAGTTATTGAACCCTTATTCTGAAGAATCTCTAACGCTTACACCGTTTCTACTAGAACTTGATTTAGTGGCCCAGAAAAGCGTTTACCATCGACATAAAATCTCCGTTTACTTTAACGCTAATACAAGAGCTAATCGACAAGAATTTCGATAAGTTGATTGAACCTATTAATCTCTCACCACCATTTCGGAGCAAATAAACTTGAAAATTCTTAGATTCCCAAATTCTAGATTAACTTGTCAGAGGCTAATAATTCCACTGACGTGTGGGTGACTGAGTGACTCTTCTCTAATAATAATTTTTGAATCATCGAAGTTACATTCGAAATTCTTTGAACTTTGTCTTTCAAATACTTGTTTTGAACTTGCTTTATTTTCCAAATCCCTTTCAGATCGTTAAGTTTTACAGATCATAACAGCTAATGAGAGGAAATCATCAGTCTAACCAGTTGATTTACACATCCAACGTAACCGGACACCTCTCGGAAGTGAACGAGGGTTCACGTAAATCATGGACAATCGTCGCGTGTCGTTTTACGATCTCCAGTTACGACGCGATTACGGAATTCGCGGCCTAAAACGCAGAAACACGCGGCTGCGTGCAGTATTTCTGTCCAGCTTCGATCCACTCGGAATGCTGTTCTTCACCTGCAAATAGCCCGTCAGGAATCCGTAATTCTATTTCGATTACTCCTTTGTTGACAAATCCTTTGCTAAAGACACTGTCAAACCCGCGCCATTTATCACGCCGCTGAATTCGTATTTCGCGAAATTAATAGACTTTCTGGTACAAAAATAGTTATTGAACTAATGCCACGTTATTTTTACGCGCGAAATTATTTGAACTCTGTGCAATGAACTTTTTCCCACGCATGCCGACAAAGATAGATTCTCGCATTTTGATAATTATTTTTAACTGACGATCTGATAGTGATTAGATTCATTGTTGCAAATCGATGTGTCTTTTAAGAATATGTATACATATGTTTGTCTCTGTGTCTCTGTCTCTGTGTCTCTGTCTCTGTCTCTGTGAATATGTACACATATGTACACATATGTATACATGTGTATGATAAAGAATATGTCTTCTTGTTCTTCACTAAGTAGACGCAATAACTCATGTAGATAAACTGCAGCAACATGAATTCTAAGTAAACAGTCTCAAAGCTAGATTAGGTCATTTAGGACACAAATTGTAGTCATTAAAATAGTTTTTATTGGACTTCAGTTGACCCATTCGTAATTGGTGAGTCAATTTTTTGACCGATCAATTGACAAATGCTTATAACTGGATAGAAATTAATTTACTATTATTAAGAACTGAATGTACTGTTTTAAAGGATGTGACTCATATCTAAATATCGTTTCACCCTGACCGTACATCAAATCTTCACATGCAACTTCAAGACTTCACTAGCTTATTAACCTTGCGGTATTAAGAACACGTATAATTATTTTACAATAATTGCTAATAAAAGGTGTGTACAAAACATCTTTCTAAATAGCATATTATACTAAAAGGTTATAAAAATCGTCATATCATATGTACATATCACATGTACAATCTCTTTCATTAAAAAGACAAGGTTAGAAAAACAACAAAGTTAAATTCTGACGTCATTGATCTCATGTCTGATATTGTCCACATATTGATAGCTTTATAATCAACCCTCTGAGTGTCTATAAAATTTATAGCTTTTAAAATGTCTATTTGTAACGTGTCCTACAAAATTTAAAGTATCCCACACTAACAATGTAGTTCGTTAATTTACAACACATTTTGTCACACGAACTAAATAAATATACAAGCACTCGTAATTTCGTTCTATTGGCACGAAACGTAACAATGTTGCAATTTTCGAGTTAGCAGGTAATTCATTTGAGTTTTCTGAATGTACGATAGAAAGAGGATGCGTTTAATGTCAGCAAGATTAGAAAGAAATGGTAGGAGGAATTTGGTGATAAATTATCGACGAGTTTTCATGAAACGTCGTCCAAAGTGCTTGATCGCGTGCCAAACAGGTGGTTCCTGATCAAGCGGGGGTGAAACCGGGCGAAAAATAGAATCCCTCGGAAAAATAGAGAAGAAAACCACGGTGTAATTGGGTCGGAATGTTTCACACATCACCAATACCTTCGTCCACCCACGTACCGAGAAGATCTTTCTTCTTGTGTTAAAACGAACGCTAAAGTCGACGAATCGTCGTCTCGCGAGGAAAATTGTGATTCGACTAGTGAATTAATGTGTCGCTTCTTAATCATTCGGTAACGATTCTGACTTGACGGATAACTGGCGCTACGAATTCAATATCAGAGGGGTAAGAGATTTAAGGTTAACGCTATTGTGTTTAAGGGTTGTTTTGATATTCCAGATTTAAGGTTTTAAGAATTAAAATTTCGGTATTTTACTATTTTAAATTTTGGTATTTTTAATTTTACTGTTTTAAATTTTGGTGTTCAAGATTTTACTGTTCTTAAATTTCGATATTGTCAATTTTACTGTTATTAAATTTCGATATTTATAATTTAACTGTTTTAAATTTTGGTGTTCAAAATTTTACTGTTCCTAAATTTCAATATT